AAAAAAGAATGTGGTGAGGAAGGAAGGCTTTGGGGTGGACGCTTTTCCACAGGACCGGCAGAATGCTTGGAGTCTCTAAATCGCTCTTTGAGTATTGATAAAAGACTTACAAAGAAGATATTAAAGGAAGTATTGCGTACGCAACTGCTTTAAAAAAGGCTAATATAATAACACAGGAAGAAGAAGCCATTTTAAAAAAAGGATTGAATTTGGTAAATCTCTTATTGAATTATACAATTGACTGAAGGTAAAAACAAATATGCCAGTAGGGTTTAATTGAATCTATTAGTATTAGAACAAATTTCTTTTAGTTGCGCTGAACATCAGTATAATATCGTTATATCATCTCGAACGATTTAAACTTTATATAATTGAGTTCATAGTTAAATGAAATAAACATTATTGATAATTGTTATCGCTCTGTAATTAACTTGAGGGTAAGTTATGGTAAACGCAAAAAATCGAAAATGAGAATTTTTATATATCTTTCAGATTTCAGAGGATTCTGAACATTTTGGCATACCTTAGAAAATATGGATGTATATATGTGTGTGCGCGCGCGTGTTTGTGCGGATACAAATTTTCGTCGACGATTTCGCAAACACGGATTAACCGATTTGAACAATTCAAAAAAACATTCGATTCCTACTGATAAGGAGACGTGCTGATTAGATTTTGGCAAAGACAGAGGTCTAGCCGTTTCGGAGATACGCGGCAAAAAGTGCTAAAAATGGTATTTCAGTTTTTGAGATAGTGGAGCGTCCGATTTAAATACATAATACGAAAAACATTTTACTTGTATTGACAAAATGAGCATCTGGCGAAGCGTTCCCGGAGATCCAATGAAAAAGTGAAAAATAATGCCATTTTATGAAGATTATAATAATAAGTATAAATTTTGTGAACGTTCATATGGGTGCAGTACCAATGTTTATACGTTAGAATACGCGGCGCTTTCGCGCTTTGATATTTCGACTCCAAATCTGCTATGCAGTGCGATTAATTAAAAAAAATGTTCAAAATTTTCTTATTAAATCAATCAAAATACGAAAAAATTAAATTATAAAAAACACATTTAACACATTTTTCAAAAATTTCAAAATTTCTCAAAAATCTAATTTTTTCAAAGTTTTGAAAAGATTTTTTTAATAATTTAGTTTTCGGTACGAAAATTTCCAGCAATTTGCCTTAAGGCACGATGCCATGCATCACTAGTTAAAAATATTATTGTTAAAGACCGCAATGAAAGCTTTAACCCTTTCCACTCGGATGCCGCCGCTACGACGGCAAAATTCATATAAATCTCGGAATTCGCAAGTGGAAAGGGTTAATAATGAAAAAATATTGCAAAATCAGTATTTTATTACTTTGATTTAGTTCTATAAAAAGGACTATTTTTTTGCAATATATCAGAGTGTTGTATTAGAGAGGAGTTTTAAAAATAGTGGTAGTCTATTTTATAAACAATTCAGAGCGCACTTGAAATTTTGATAGTAAAAAGTATTTTTACATATATCTTAAGTTTACCAATTAAGTTGAGAAATTATTGATAATTAAATTTACATTGGGATTAAACAGACGCTACAAGAATGGGAGAATGGAAAAATATCGTTTTTGAAATCAGATGAAGATGTTCATACAGTGAACGAAAGGAGAGTAAAGGAATTAATCGGTAATTATGAAAGATTTAAAAGAAATGTTTATTAGAGATAAATCAGAGTTTTATAAAAGCTAGCACGTTAAATAAATCTATAATAAAAAATATTTGATTTCTTTTATGAATTCTAAAACAGTATTTCCTAGGCTCTTTTTCACTTAATTTAAACATATTTACCCGTTTGAATAATAATAGTTGATTTATGCTCCTATACATACATTTTTGCCTTATGACAATTATTTTGTACCATAAAAAATATAAATATATTTATATTTTCCCATTTTTTGTTCCCACGGAAGCATAAATCAACTATTATGATTTATAAACTTACTATAATAAGCCTGATTTAATATTAATATCAAATATTTGCTCTTTTCGGCAGATATTTAGCATTACATTCAAGAAATAAACCTATTTAAAGGTTTAAGTTAATTAAGTCATATCGACTTATATTATCTTTAGTACATATATGTATAACATATTTATAACAAAATATGTGAATATTCTGGATGAAAAATATATTTTTTAAATTTAAAAAATATATTTTTCATCCAGAATATTCACATATTTTGTTTAAACTCATTTTCAAGTATTATTTCATTATATATTGTTTAGAAATTTCATTGTGTGGGTACCAAAGATATAAATATATATTACAAATGACCATTAGAAAATAAATATAAATATAAATTATAAATTAAAATTAAATTATAAATTATAATTATAAATTATATAGGGTCAGAAATTGGAGGAAAATTGCACACAGGACGAAGCCGAAACGATCAAGTTGTAACAGATATGAAATTATGGATGTTGGAAAACATAACAGAATTACAAAAAACTATTGCCGTTTTTGTCCAGGTATTTTATTTAACTTTTATCAATATTAGGATAAATCTCAATGACGTTTGATATGAATACAATACTCAATACAATTCATGAGTTCAGATATTTTACTCATCATTAACTTTACTGTTTAACAATCTTTAACCACAGAAATATGCGTGGCCTAATATATTAAACCGAAGTTATAACTTCTAAAAGACACCACAACTTTTTAAAGTTAAATTTAATGCAAGTACCAAATCAGGCGTCATCTGTATGTAAAATATAGTAAAGTATTAAATATTTCCTATACCAAGGTATCTCTATCTCATATCTATTATGCATTTCAATATATCTTAGCACTATATTTTAATCTAAAGACATTTTTTTTTCAAATTATTTAAAATAACGATTTATTGCGTTATGAAGCAATTATAAGATTTCCAAAAAAATATATTTAATCTATTATATTTTTTATAAAATATATATAGTACGTTTTATAATATTCAGGCACTCGAAAAAAAATCTATTGAATGTATAGATGTACTCATGCCAGGATATACTCATTTGCAAAGAGGACAACCTGTTAGATTTAGTCATTGGCTTTTGAGGTAATATTTTTTTATTCTCTATTTTACTTACTACCAGTTAAGAATTTTTAGTAAATTTGTGAAATTTACAATTGTCAGCCGGAAAGGGGCAATAGTTGTTATAATATTAACAATATTTTAATGATAATAATAATAACTATGGTAATATATGAAACATGAACCTTTGAAGGCACTATTCTAATAAATTTGTATTATCAAATAGTCAAGAGTTAATATTGAATCAAACTAATAATTATAGTAATTTGTAATTTTAATTCATTAAAAATATAGATTTAAATTATTTGTGACTATTTCTAAATCATCAGCAACTGAGGTGCTGAACAAAATGTTAATTAAGGTTTAATACAAACGTTTTTAACATACTATCATTTTTTATAAAATTTTCATTCTTAACATAAATAAGTAGAATTATCTGAACATCTTCTAAAAATCAAATAAATTCAACTTAAGATACAGTAATCTTATTTTACTTAGGTTAGGTAAATGAAATGTAAATATTTAAACTAAATTTAAGAAAAAAATTTAAGCTCACTAACATATGTAATTATTTGTTAGTGCTAAAACGAGAAAACATTCATTCGAAAGCCTATTGCTTTACCTAAAATTTTAGAAACAGAATTAAATCTAGATCATAGAAAATATTTAAGTACACAATTACTTTTTGGATGATAACACAGGTCCACAGAGTAAAAAAAGTTGTCTCTATTGGCTTGCTGTGCGTTAGATGTTTTCCAGGAAACGACTAAAATTATAAGATTTTAAGTATCATGTATAAGAATTACTAGATCGAAGATTTTGTCGTTTTTCCTGATTTCCATTTCAATTTTTTACTATTTGAACCCCCAATTTTGACTTTGGATTCGTGTTCAGTGAAAAAAACTACACTAGAAAACATGCCGCACACCCAAACCAGACATTTTTTTGAAGTAAAACTTCTTTAGGCGCGACTAGGGAGTAAATCTGTAGAAATGCAACGAAAATAGTGTTACGCCCGAACAGTTCGTCATTCGCTCTCGATGAAATCATTTCTATACTGTTCGATTGTGATTAGTCGTCGTGTCGTGTGAATAGAGATCTGTCGTTGTATGCGTACCGGCATCAACAAGGAAATGAAGTCCTAATTGCTAGTTACAATGGCAAAACCGATCATGTCATATTTGAAGTATGATTTTAATTACATTATTGTTTTCAATTATTATAAATATTTTTAATGCTATTATAAATATATAATTTGTAAATTATTATTATATGAATATATATAATGATTGACATTAATAAATTCAAAATTGTTATATAATGTATTTATTTTTAACGTAAATGCCATCTTGTACAATAGCAAAATAGTTTTACTTCAATCGCGTGTGAACCTTACGCGCACTCTTTTTTTTAATTTGTGGACTTGTGTAATTGAAGCATTTAGATATAAATAAGTCACTAAGTCACCTTTAATAATCAGCGTCCATGCCCTTTATAGATCGTAATTAGTTACCTAGAAGTGTAGTTTGCTCCAACTTTTAGCCATGCTTGGCCGTTGGTGTCCGACCATCAACGACTGCGAGATTTGCGGAAGCGCGTGGCAATGTGTCCGTTAGGAAGCGGCGCATTGGCGGGAAATCCTCTCAAAGTGGATAGGAAAGCGCTGGCTGAAGATCTTGGATTTGACTCCGGCCCGACAATGAATAGCATGCATACCGTATCCGATCGAGACTTTGTTGGTAGAGTATTAAAATTTAGAAAACACTGCATGTCCGACTTGCTCGCCAGAGATCCTCGGAATAGATACCGAAGTTAAGGGGGTCTTCCTATGTGACGGCCTGTTTTTTATGGATATTTTAGGATTTTTTTCTACGACCAGTAAATATTTAGAGCTTCAAGTTTTTATCATTTATTAACACATATTTGGATAAATATAAAATTTCAGCTAAAAATATTCAGTCAAACTAGAGTTACAGCGCTCTGAACACCCCCGCCTCGAACAAAAAGCTCCCACTTCCTCCACGATTCCGGCTGATCGGCTTATCTGAAAAAAATAAATAAACGGCGTTTTAATTTGTAGGCTTAAAAGCACGGAATGACCTATAATCAAATGAATATAAAAAAATTGGATTTTTGATAGACATTTGAAATAAAAGTTACAAATTAGGCGTTTTTTTTTTTGGTTTTTTGCTATAAAAAAATCGAAAATTGATAATAGTTCATTCCATGCGTTTAAATATATTGAGTGTGCCCTGTAAATTTCAAGTAAATCGGTCCAGCAGTTTCTGAGATACAATGGAGGAAAGTTTGAAAAACACAGTTTTGAGAAAAACGCGTTTAAAATTACAAGTCCGTTAAAAACTAAGCGAACCACTCTTTCTTTTACCTGCTGTACCTTTAAAACGACTTCGAATTTTCTAAAATCGCAGCAATTTATGAAAAAAATTGTTTTTTTCAACCTATCACATAGGAAGACCCCCTTAAGAAGGGAGCCTGCTTTAGAGGCTTCAAAAATCGCTTTTTTAGGAATTTTTAGGGAAGGAAATAAATATTTAATACAAACGAAACTTTCACGTTTTATTGTAATATATTTCAACATTCTTCTCAATTTTTTTTCCTTGAAATATATGCTATAATATACCGGATACAACCATTTTGCTCATGCGTCACGAGTGTGCAGCTATCATTTGACGGGAAAGATGCAGGTCACAATTTCAATCCGAAACAAAACAATCAAAGCAAATATATATTTTCAATGGTATAGATTCTAGTTAAACCTAAAAAAAACCAAAAAAATGAGAAATTGACCAATTTTTCGCAACTTGAAATAAAAATCATGTTTTTGATACAAAATTTCACTTTAGATTGTTTAAAAAGTGGGTTAATTATAAATATTCAGCTTTTTAGGTTCAACTAGAATAGAATTTAATCGAGTAGTTTAGATGGGACGTTTAGTTTGTTTCCTATCTTTCCCGTCAATTAGGAAGATTCGAAAAAATTAAAAACCAGGAAATCACGCGTCGAAGTTTTCGTTCCGTACATGCTTGACGCTTGTTCACTATTTCTTCAATAATTCCGAAAATAATTTGAATTTGTTTCTAGTTCTCTAACTAGTTTTGAAAGACATTTTGCGGATTTTTTTAATCCTCTAAAGCAGGCTTCCTCCTTAAGTTAAGTTAGTGCTGACTATATGTTGTTAAAAAGAGGCAAATAAAAATAATGTAAAAAATGTGAATATACAATGTCTTCTTCTTCACAAACTTTAAAACTCTTTTTTATGAAACACTTTCTAAAAATTAAATTGTACATCACCTGCACTAAAATACCTCGAACTGTCCTAATCAAATACCTAATAACTCTCGAAATGTAAAAAATATTTATAAATGAAGTTCAGAGGGGGAAAATATATATATATATATATATATATATATATATATATATATAAATTTTTTCCATGCTCCTTACGAAGTTTGATTGAATTGCGCTCTATCTAAATGTTAATATTAAGAGCTAAAACTTTTAGAGAATTGTTTTTTATCAATTTGGAACTATTTGAGCCCCTGGGAACAAGGAAATACAAAAATGACCATTTTAAGGACCACCCTAATATATATATATATATATATATATATATATATAATAACATTATTTAATACATATAAATATTCTCTTGTGTCCTTTTACTACCTTAAAAAAGGCTTTTTTGCTTTAAACATTTTTAATCAATTACTTCTAACTAGCTGCCTATATCCAGAAACGGATAGGTAAAAATTTATTTTTTTTTCAATCCAAATCTGTCCTACACAGATTTTTCACAAATACTATTATGGTTATTGGCATTTGTTCACAATTAGCACATTTGTTTATGTAATCTAAAAATATCTAGGCTAAATTTGTATTTTCAAATATTTCGTAATGTTCTAAATCTTGTTATATACATTTTATAAATGTATATACTTGAATCTCAAGGTGAAGCTGTATTTCACATCCTGTAACATTTTATTGTTATTAAAAAATAATGCGTTATTTACTGGAAAATTACATTATTAAATTATTTTAATAAATATTAATGTTCCTATAATCTATACATACGTGCTGAAGAAGACTCAATTAAATTTTACTAAATTTTTTCTTTTCCTATTAGCTGAATTTCTGTTCGATTGCTCTTTGTGTTCATCTCATTTGAGTCGACTGGCTGAGGACCTGATAATTTTTCTGCAGCAAAGAATTTCGTTTTATATCCTTGGATGATGGTTATTCTACTGGGAGCAGTCTCATGCCACAAAAAAAGAAATCCTGATAGCGCAGAGTTGGTTCGTGGAATGTCAGGCACAATTTTCGGCCAGGTTTGAAAAAAATAAATCAAATCATTCTTACCTTTATAATTAGTCCAAGTAAAAAATATCTCTTGCCCGACATTGCTAAAATAAAACTCCATTTAACAATAAAACAAATAAAACTCCTTTACAGAAATTGTTATAATAAAATTGATCACTTGATGAGAGGACAACTGTTTGGATTGTCATCTATAAAATAACGTAGTTAGTTTTCGGACGGTCAAGTCTGATAAATAAGACGTATATATGAGAGATGTCTTTTTCCATTGATTATAATATTTATTTCATAATAATTCTTTATTTCACAAATGTTTACCAATAAAAATAATATTTTAGCTTTGTGGATTTATGATGACTTTAAAAGGATTACCGTCAACATACAATAAGGACTTACAAGGAGATAAGTTGGCGATGTTTTCAGCCTACGATAGTTTATGTGATGTTTTGCAAGTGATTACTGGATGCATTTGCACTATGAAGGTAAATATTAATTAATAAAAAGTAAAATTAATATCTCCATACTTGACATAACATTTGTAAGTTATGTACAGTACAGGCCAAAAGTTTCCGGACACTTGAAAAAAATCTCATTTTCTGAGTTTTTAGCTATATTTTTCATATAAAAATAATTTTATTCAAGTTGGTTTTGTACATTCTACGTAGTATTAATATTTAGTGACTGATTTCTAACCAATTTGTGAGAAACAGTAGACTAATTAGTAATGAAAATGTTAAAATGTCACTGCAGTCGATTTTCCTGAATATGACCACCCTTTGTTTTGATCACTGCAGCGCATATTTTTGGTAATCTTTCGACGAGTTTTTGCAATGTTTGCGCAGGTATGTTCTTCCAGGACTCGTTAAGGCAATTCCACAGGGCAGGGAGGCTGCTTGGATGCAAATCAGTCAGACAAATGCACTACAGTTCTATTGGATTAAGATCCATTATTTGAAGTATTTTTTCATCTTGTTTTCGCTTCAAATAATTGGCACAGAGTCGGGAAGTGTGTTTAGGGTCATTATCTTGTTGAAAAATAAATTTTGGACCAATTAAATTGAAACCAGATGGAATGGCGTGGCGCTCAAGTATGCTATGATACTGTTCTTTCTTTAAAGTTCCATGTATTTTGACAAGCGATCCGACTCCATTGAATCCAAAACAACCCCAAGCCATCACTGAACCACCACCGTGCTTCACCTTTGTCGAAATACACTTAGAATTGAGTCTTTCATTACCCTTCCTACGTCGATGATTTCCGAAAAGTTCGAATTTTGACTCATCCGTCCATAAAACTGATTTCCATTGATTGATGGTCCAATTTAAGTGGGTTTTGGCAAATTGCAATCTCTTTTGTTTATTTACTGCTCGCAGAAGTGGTTTTTTGAGTGGCCTGCACAATCGCCGGATCTTAATCCAATAGAGCTGTTGTGGGACGAGCTTAAATGCCGCTTGAAGGATTTGCATCCAACCAGCCTTGCTGCCCTGTGGAATTGCCTTAACGAGTCCTGGAAGAACATACCTGCGCAAACATTGCAAAAACTTGTCAAAAGATTACCAAAAATATGCGCTGCAGCGATCAAAGCAAAGGGTGGTCATATTCAGGAAAATCGACTGTGACATTTTAACATTTTCATTGCTAATTAGTCCGTCATTTCTCACAAATGGGTTACAAATCAGTCACTAAATATTAATACTACGTAGAATGTACAAAACTAACTTGAATAAAATTATTTTTATATGCAAAATATAGCTAAAAACTCAGAAAATGAGATTTTTCATGTGTCCGGAAACTTTTGGCCTGTACTGTATATGGAGGCTTAGTCCATATTAAATACCAAAATGATAGACAATAATAAATTTCATAAAATATTATTTATATTTCGTTTATTTTATATATGATTAATATCCACGACACTATGTGTTGTCATACTAATCGTTAATAAAATGTTATTGGTATTTTCGTATTTATAATTGAAAAGAAAGGTTTTAAGAATCATACATTTTAGGCAAATTCGACTAGGGAGAAACAAAAACCGTGTCCGATCTGACACTTGAATTTCCTTTTGTTTTTCTCAGTGCTGTCACTATATGGGCCAATCTGTCCAGAGACATGTGATGCGTGTTGACAAGCCGCGATGCGTGTTGGCAACCCGCTACATCACTCCGCCACTCGTGTTCTTTATACTACGTATATTGTTTATTATGACAATGGTAATGACACTATGTGTGATTATATTTATCATTTACACAACGTAGATATTATTTGAGTATTTATATAAAAAAGGAAAAAAAGTCAAGAATTATAATTTTGGCATTTCGAACATGGAGCAAACAAAAACGAGATCTGATCTGACACTTGAACTTTTTGTTTTTGAGCTGACACTATGATGAGCTTCAAATAATGAACATCTGTCAAGTTAAAATGCGATGTGTGTTGACAGGTCGCTACAGATCACTCCGCCCTAATGAAAAAGATTGTTTCGCATCTCTGAGTGCCATCTTGAACTTCCTTGTAAATTTCTTTTGGTTGAGATTGTGTGATAAATTTTATTTGTTCGTGGCCGTGGCCGTTTTGAATGCCGTGTTGGCTTGTTGAGTTTGTTGATTGCTTACGTGGCCCTTCGCTGGTGAGTTAGCGGTTGAGTAGATGTGGCCCTTCGCTGGTGAGTTAGCGGCTGAGTATATTTGACACTTCGCTGGTGAGTTAGCGGTTGAGTGTATGTGGCCCTTCGCTGGTGAGTTAGCGGTTGAGTGTATGTGGCCCTTCGCTGGTGAGTTAGCGGTTGAGTATATGTGGCCCTTCGCTGGTGAGTTAGCGGTTGAGTATATGTGGCCCTTTTGAATGGCGGTTGCCGATGTTTGTTGGTGCTCCCTGTCCTCTGCCGTGGTGCTCATAATCGACTCATTTTCCAGGATAATGAGGGATTTATTGAGCACGTGTTGTTGTTGTTCTGGATGTGCGTGGTCGGAGTCTCAGTTGTAGGATTAGAATGTTCTTCGAGTTATGGCGGTTGTGAGCCATTTATATTCATTATTTATTTTTTAAAAATTCTTTTTTTAATAATTCATGAGACTTCAATTTATTTTTTTGTTACTTCTAAATGTGTCTTGATCTTCTTACCTTCTTTCCTTCTATATGCGTGCTATTAATTCACGTTCGCGGTCACCACTAAAGAAACTCGTGTTCTTTATACTACGTATATTGTTTATTATGACAATGGTAATGACACTATGTGTGATTATATTTATCATTTACACAACGTAGATATTATTTGAGTATTTATATAAAAAAGGAAAAAAAGTCAAGAATTATAATTTTGGCATTTCGAACATGGAGCAAACAAAAACGAGATCTGATCTGACACTTGAACTTTTTGTTTTTGAGCTGACACTATGATGAGCTTCAAATAATGAACATCTGTCAAGTTAAAATGCGATGTGTGTTGACAGGTCGCTACATGTATATAAATCAAAATCATAGACCTTATAATACATATTGGGTAAAGTAAAAAGTTCGTGTCGTTTTCCGTCGTTATAAATACTTCAGGAAGTTCAGATCGCAGCGGCACCAGTGAACCCTCGTTAGAAAGGTTCTTTGAGCATTATTTTGATGGTATAATAAAAAAATTTGTCAAGTGGTTGAAAAGTTATTTGTGTTTGAAAACGAAGAAAACTAATGAAAAAATACGCTATATTTTCCAATATTATTATGATAGAGGGAAGAACGCTGCGCAGTATTGTGAAAAAAATTATGCAGTATAAGGTTAAGGTACTTTATCAAAATCTGCTGTTCGGAAATGGTTCGCTCGCTTTCGTTCTGGTAATTTTGATGTGAAAGATGTCGTCGAATCAATAAAAAAAGTTGATAAATTTCTTAAAAATGCAGGAAGGAACTAGCCATTGATCGAAAAACTGTGTTGAACCAATTACATAAGCTATGTACAAAAGAAACTCGATGAAAGGAAGCTTCATGAGTTGGGCGCGAAGAACTTGATAGACCGAATAAACGTCTGCGATACGCTGCTGAAATACAATGAAATTTCTGAAACTTTTCATAACTGGTAAGAAAAAGTAGATTATATACGACAATCGGAGGCGAAATAAATCATAGTTTAGTGATGGTGAGCGATGACAAACGTTTACAAGTCAGGAATGACACTGGAAAAGGTGATGTTGCGTTGATGGTGGGACTGACTGGAAGGTAATTGTCAATCATGAGGTACTTACAGTTGGTCAGACCTTTAATTGTCAATCCTACTCTAAATAAAAGAGAACGCCAAGCAATTGAAAGAAAACTACATAAATTGAAGATATTGTCTTCCATCATGACAAAGTCCAACCATACACTTGTGACCCGCCAAAAGTTGCGAAAGCTTAGTTGAGAATAGTTTATGCATCCACCGTATATTCCAAACATAGTACTGTCTGACAAAATTTTGTTCCGATCTCTGCAAAACTATCTTAATGGAATTAACCCCTTTACTTACGATTTAGATTCGAAAATGTCGGCCCAAAGTCGTTCAAGCTGGCCGCGGCGTTATGACTATTTTCCCTCATAGTGTACGGTTTATCACAAAAATAAAAATAATTTTGTATTTTATAGTTTCGTATGAATAAATATTTTGCAATACTTGCGTTTACCATAACGGGCCATGCCCGAAATGCGTAATATTTGGTTCTAGCCTGAATATCGTACGCGGCCTTGCCCGTAATATTCACTTTTGGCCTAGAAATCGCACGCGGGCTCTGCTCATCATTTTAAGTGAAGGGGTTAAACTGATTTAAAAAAAAACTTGCAAAAAGGACTTGATTAAGTTTTTCAACCAGAAATCACAGAAGTTCTTCACCGCATGGCTCCACTCGAAAAATAAAGTGCTATAAAAAACTTGTTGAGTTTCACTAAATAAACGAAACGAACTTTTTACTTGGCCCACTTGTCTATGGTATGTTGATATGGATGTATTATATTGGTTATTATGTATTAAATAAATGCATGCTGAAGGTGCAGATGTACATGCCAACACCGCATCAATAACGGTAATGGGAAGGTCAACATAATTTTTTTTTTTGAAATATTTTAATTCAATCGTCGAAATCGGTTGGGTAGAAATACCAATAGACCCAACAAAACTGATATCAAAAAGTAAGAAAAGATATGAGCGACATGACAAGATACCATGCATATCAAGACTATAGCGACGTATCTTTAGGAACATTATTCTGGTGGCGTTCAATTTTTCTCAATCTTCTTGTAACGCACGAGATCATCTATGACGTATATATATACATAAAGCATTGTATTTATATAAATAATTCAGAATAAAAATCATGAAAATTTTCAATTTTTCAAAACTGGTTTGCGTTTTTTTGTGTGTACTCAAAAAGGACAATAGTAATTGATACTATATACTATATTTTACTTATTTTCAGATAAACGCTGATGTTTGCCGTGGTGCTCTAACGACGGATATGTTGGCTACTGATTTGGCATATTATCTAACTGGTCGCGGTGTAGCATTTAGGGAAGCTCATAAGTTAACGGGCGAGGCAGTGGCAATGGCTGAAAATCTCCAGATTCCACTTCACCAATTGAGCTTGTCAGATTTACAACAAATTAGGTAATAATTATTATATTTTTCGTTCAGATGTATTTATTATAATTTTCGATGTTGTTTTTACAGTCCTGCTTTTGATACATCCGTATATAAAATTTGGGATTTTGAGCATAGTGTGGACCAGTACTCATCAATCGGAGGAACTGCAAAGTCCGCTGTATTGCAGCAGATTCAAGAATTACATTCGTGGGCTGAAAATACACAACAAAAATGAGAAAATTAACTAAATAAATCATTTTTTTTTATGATAAACTAAATAAAAACTATATAAAAAAATTAAATTAATAATTAAAATATCAGAAATTTGTATACATCAGTGAGAAAAATATATTGCAATTGTTTTTTTTTCTTGTCAATTATTATTCACATAAAATTATAATTTAATTTTGAAAAAATGGATGATGAAATTCAAGAAGAAATTCCTGGTAAATACAAACATTTTGTTACGAATTATTAATTCATTAAAATATAAAAACTAATTTATAGAAAATAGAGTACGTTAGTAAGTAGAGTAGAGTAGTTAAGTACTTATTTGTCGTTATTATGAATAAGAGTATATATCATTTTATTTAAATTATTTATCTAATTTTATTTATAAATCATTTTACAGTGATTCTTGCAAATGAGTTCGATCAAAGAGTGGCTAGTATATTTCTACCATTTGATAACTACGGTAATAAAACTGTTTCCATCACGGATTTACCACTTATTGTACGTGGTTTAGGTAACGTGTCAAAAATTATTATTAGAACTATAAAAAAATTCTTTCAGAAATATTTTATGCTGAAGTGAACAGTTTCGCTAAAGCAAAATGTGAATTATATATTGTTCAAACAGATAAATGGGACAAATCCGTTGCTATAAATTCAAACATGTGTAATCTAGTACATATATAAAATTTTTGAACCCTTTATAAATTTGGATAATTTCCCATATTTAATTATTTTAAGCAATGTGATAAATAAAAATATTAAAAGAATAATTTTAGAAAGAATGATAATTTTTTTTTCAACGAAGTTTCAACTCTTTTAGATAAGCTTTATATTTTCAAAACCAAAAAAATTAAAGCTTTATATACATATTTCATAATAAATATATTTGACCCGATTCATGGTTTTTACTTCAGGATGTGTTCCGACGGAAGAAGAATTGCAATTCATCGCAACAAAATGTACAGAACGTGAATTTCCGAACATTGTTCATTTGGCCCATTTCTTGCCATTCATGTTTGAAATGATATTACTTGGAAGGTATTGCAAGACTGCTGCTTAAAATAAATAATATTTTCAATTTTCTTTATGTATCTGTTATAATTTCAACTAAAAACGTAACTAGTTATTATTGGTATATTTTGTAACTTGAGTTGAGGCAAGTTACATGAACTTCCCGATATGTGTAAATAATCGACTTAAGCAATAAAAAATAAATTAATTTATGAGTATAATTGCCTGTAATTAGTATTATTGCCTGTAATAAATTAATTTATGAGTATAATTTCCTGTAATGAGTATTATTGCCTATAATTGAAAACGAACGAACACGTTAGCTCGGAGTATTTTCTATAAGCAAATTTTTACGAATCAATAATTTTTATAATTGAACCAGTTTCCGTAGGACTTCAATGGTTTAGTATGTTCATTAATACCAAGTATACTCTATCGTTATACCAAGTGAATAGTCTAATTTAAATTTTAACAAACGTCAAAAAAACTACTCATTTTCTCAAACTTTGATGAATTTTTAAAATTAAACTTTGACCATGATATATATCGCCAAAAAAAAGTTCCATAAAAATCGGCATAAATTTTTTTTTAACAGTTAATTACAAGAATATGGCTCGGTAGATTTTCTCCTAAAAGTAATCAGTATCATTCCAACCTCACCTAAAACTAATAAATATCATTCTCAACTAATATCTTTCGAACAGTTTTTGATTTTAAAATTCGATTCGGTAGTATGAGCGAATCGGATTCTTTTATGAAAACATAAACTTCCCCTTCGGGAAGTTAAAATTCTACATTAATGCGATATTAATTTAAAAAATGTAAAAAAAATTAAATTGTATTATCATTTATTCCGCATAATAAGCAAAGTAACAGTAAATATGTTTTATATTTTATGTTATAAAAAAACTACAAACTACCAAAAAGGGTTAAATCCCATGTTTATAAAATTGTAATTTGTTACCGCCTTAAAGTTATTAATTTTGTTCTTTTTATACATGAAAAACAGATTCAAACCAGCTGCTCCAGAATTACTTTTGAGAGGATTTCAAGCAATAGACGTTGAAAATAAGGGCTACCTTACACCCGATTATTTAAAAAATTTGCTCACAACGCAAGGAGAAGTTTTATCAGAGGTAATACATGCATTTGCAACAGTGACGAAAAATGTCCATCAATGTTTTTTTACTAAAAAATACGGTTGTAATGGTTTTGTGATTACCCAAACTATCTAAGCCGTTTTCCAAAAGCATGGTAAATCGATACAAACAATTATGATTTCGATTTTTTGTGTAATTGAATAACATTGTCACAGAAAAGTTAAAAATATATGACATCAATATGAATCGAGTTGAATTATTTTGCCAAATTGATCGACATTACTGTAGAAGATAGGGTATGGAATAATGCTATAACGCTGTCTAATTGTTAATAATAAGTATAATAAATTTATACTTAAGTAATTTTAAACAACCAATTAAAAAAGTTTTCGTGCGAATATTGTTAATGGCATTTTTGTTTCATTCAAATTAGGAAGAAGTATCAGAATTTATGCGCATCGCCGTCGACCCAAGCACAGGAAACATTCCATTCGAATTCTGTGTCAGCAAACTAAAGGTAATTTTATCAAGCTATTTTAGTATTGGTCCAATGTCTTTAATCGTAACTGCTTCGATTTTGAATTTTCAGTTCATTCCTAAGCCATTAACTGATATTTACTATCTGGCAAAAGCCTCTATGGAAGAAAAACCAAAAACGAGACGGTACAGTACGTACAGGCAAAGTGTTATACAGCAATAAAGAGATTCATAAAAATTAGCATCCTCCATTAAATTTTTTGTATCTTGTTGAAAAGATGTGAATAAATAATATTCAGTATAAATAAATAATAAACAGTATAATTATGCTACATACACAATCATAACGCATTTAAATTAATTAATTTTAATTATTAACTATATAACCAAACCTTCCTATCTTTCGACTAAAAGGAATATTGATATTCTAGACCAGAAAAACACACTTAGATAACTTATTAGTTATTGACCAAAAAATAATCATAATTTCTCCCTACAACATATAGTTCCATATAAGCATAATCGCCTATTATATGATAATAGATGGGTTATTCCAATTTTATTAATAAGTAATAGCAAAGATTCATTTTGAATCCAGACAAATCGCAAAAAATCGAAACATTGCGGACAAAGACCTGATTCTGGAACAAATATTGCTTCTAGAAAGAAACGGATAGCCAGCCAGGTGGAAATATCCCAATGTACAAAAAAAAGTAAAAAAATTAAATAGTTACTTAACAAACAAAAAACCAAAATAATACCTTGCTGTCTTGATGAAATAATCACTTAGGTACTTACCTAGGGTGCTTATTGCCTGTCTTGAGCTTTCATTTATCACGTCCAGACTTGTTTATGTATCATAAAGCAAAAACTCAAAGAACTTATTCAGCAGCCAAAAATATTATTTGAATAGATCATCAAGATGTTGTTTTTGTGTTTCTAAAGCTGGTCCTAGTACATAATCTGGCATGAAGATTTGGTGCTATCAGTTTGAATCCTAAATATTATCCAATGTTGTAAAAGTGTGTACTACATGAAAAAAAGCATGTTCATATTGTCACAATTTAGTAAAATAATATATAATATATTAACAATATAAATGTTAATATTGAGATTTTATATAATACCTACATGAACAACCAAATATCTGATATTTCAGTTTGAACATTAAGTTCATCTCAATTTTCAATGTAACCTCTGAAGAATTTTCTTATATTGGACTGAACCAAAATAAAATTTAACTGAAATATGTGCTTCAAAATTTCAATTATTAACAATTGTTTCTTTAATTGGATTGTTTTTTAATGCCTTTTATAAAGCAGCAGTTACCTTTTGTTTGAATTGATATAAAAATGATAATAAAATAACATTTATGGAGAGTAGTATTGATAGATATAAAATATCAAACTTACCTATTTTAAAAATATCACATTTCTGAAAAACAATAATAAGGTTAAATCTAACATCACATAGTAATTTTGATAAATAGTTGAATAACTAAATTACAAATTTAGAAAAATGTACAAGGCAATATAAAGGATTTGTTGACAAAATTAATTTCATTATCAAAATATTTTAACATTTCTCAAAAATATGAGATATTAAAGACTTAATGTTGAGAAATATACTTTCATCAATTGTCAAAATTGATAATTTTAAGACTTGGGCAAAAAATTAATAGATAATTCAAATATCAAATAAACACATTTATAGCATATTGTTTATATAATAAGTCGATGTTTCTGTAATACAGATTCGTTGTAATGTTCATTACACATTCATGTATATAAAAAGAAAAAACGAAGCTTGCAAAATACAGAATTATTCATAACAGAAACTGTACCAAAAAAATATGGTATTTATAAATAAAACATTGTATAAAAATAATAAACTGGCTTTATAACAATTTATAAATATATAAATTAGCTAAGACTTGTGTGTGTATATATTATTTACTATAATTTAAAATCTTCAAATTAAATCATTTAGAATACTATATGAACTGCACTCTGATATATGCATAAAATTTTCTCAAATTTGGTATATTCGATCACAACATAAATAATTTTTAGTATGAGAAAATTTCATTTTTAATTAATAAAATTGTTTTCTAGTATTAAATATATACACACGCACAACTAGAAGATTATAATATTTAATTAAAATCAGATAAATGCTGTAATGACATTGAATTTAAATTAAAGCAACGATATTCTTTGCTATCACCTGAAACATTATTGAAAATTATCAGCATGAAAACTAATTGATTTTATCCTTGTCCCTTTTGTAAAATAAATAAAAAATGATATCATACACTGTCTGTAGAGGAACAATATATTACGCAATCACTATTGTTATGATAATAAAATACATATGAACAGTGAATTTAATAAGTTACACATTGGATTGATTCTTTTAGATTGAAATATTTTATTTAAAGTTTGTGTTTTAATTCATCTTTAGACATATATACTGATCAATTATCAAAATTATTTATATGTAGTAAGAAAATTTGTTTAATTGAAGTTTATTATTAGCTTTGATAAATAATTTAACTTGATCACTGTCTCAATTAAAATCTATGCCAATATCTTTCCTTCATTCTGATTTCTACAATTTTTATAGGTTATTGTAATAAACAAATTTACACTTTTTATAACAATTAAATTAAGAAGAGTTTATTATATTTGAAACTGCAATTTAATATAACTACATAATGAAAAAATCACTGATCATAACAATTATAAAGTCTTTTCTTTATTTCATGTTTAAATTAATTAATATTAAGCAAGCACACTATGGTTGAGCGTTTTTCTTAGTTATATTACTATTCCACAGAGTCCTCAAATATAAATAATTCATTCACTCAAACACATCTTCAGGATATGATAAAGATATCAATCTTTCTCTGTTCCTTAATATGAACTTACAATATTCCAAAAGTTAGTCACTGCAAAATGAGATGTAAACATTACATTTCATCAGTAAAGCAACGCTATATTGATTATCACAATTTTTTCAACATAAGCTATCATTTCAGACAGCCTTCTAATAAAAACAGGAACAAATTTTGTCGATTTGATAAAACACCACCGCACACCAATATTCATAGCACTAGTATCCATTTCATTAGTTTTATTAAAGAATCACAAAAATCGCACTTTCAGCTAAATGTACTCCACATACATTATAACAGTATGATAACAAGTTGACACTACTTTTGGGAGAATTTTATGACTATCAGCAATGAATCCCTTTCGACTTCTAAGATGAACTCGAAGCATTCATGTTGCCAAACATTCCCGCATTGAAAGTAGTTTGTCCATGTTGCAAGCTCTGTTGAGCTTGCGCTTGGGCCTGCTGCGCTTGTTGTGAAACTTGTGCCTGTCGTCCATGCTTTGGCACTGGTGGTTGCAGATATTCATGTCTTGATAATGACAGCACATCCATCCTACTCTCTTTACTATATGATAAACAACCCCGAATAAAACTCTGAAAAGTTAAAAGCCAATAATTATAATAATTTTATATATATGATTTCAATTTGCAGAACTAAAAGCTTCAATTTGTTCTCAGAACTCATTTGATTTTTCATTTGTAAATATTTTTTATATTTTATTTTTATGTTTATAAAAATTGTTTGAATTGAAAGTGCTCGAGTCAAAGACTCTTAAATAATGAATATTTATATATTTATAACAAAGGCATTATCTAATTCTAGTTCTAAGTCAACTGTTAGTATTAGTTCCAATATTAGAATATTAATATTCTTCAACTGGATAATGCCCAAAAATCAAAGCTGTTGTACTAAAGTCTAATATATGTTAATGACAAATGTATTATTTTATGGTTTATCAATAGAGATGTCTACCTTTGCTTCTTGCGTCACAGTGGGTTTGTTTGCAAATTGAACATCAGTCGCCTTAAGTATAGTATTTTCTTCTAAAATTGTAGCTTGTGATTGATTGTGTCCAAATGGCTTCTTTCCATAAAGACATTGATAAAATATTACACCTACACTCCAGACGTCGACCTTTGATGATATTTTAGGAGGATTTTTGCCAACAACAAAACATTCAGGAGGTAAATACCTGGGAAACAAACATGTTTGATAAGGTAATTGATAAAATTGCACTTTATCTACAAATAAAGATTAAAATTATTTAAATAATAATAAAATAATAATAAATCGTTTAAATCATATTCATGTGTTTTTCAACAAGTTGTATTCAATATTTAATGAAAAATGTTAGAAATAAAACGTTTTTCAATAACTAGAATAAATGGTTGTTAAAAAATAAAAAAAGAGTATTTGTAATTAGTTCTGATTAGTTAATTTACCAGTATGTTCCAGCTCCTTGAGATGTTAGATCCATCCCATGATCTGGATTGTAATTTTCTTCATCCATGACTTTAGATAAACCAAAATCAGTAATTTTGATTTCACCACAGACATTACCTTCCGTTAATAGAATGTTTCCAGGTTTTAAATCATAATGTATTACAGGCGGCTTGATTTCATTCAAATATTTTAATGCCGAAACTACTTGCATGACTATTGATCGAGCTTCCCTTTCTGGTATAGTCTTGTGCTATAAATATTTGTTTTTTAGTAAGTTAGATAATTTTTCTTAATATAAAAATTTATGCTATTAATATAACTATAATTTTATTAATAGCATAATAGATATCAAATGCGTTTTCTTACAAACCTGTTTCAAATAAAAATCTAAATCATGACCATCACAGTATTCCAACACAGTACAAAATGAATTGGCATCTATTTCAAAAACATCATATAATTTAACAACCCTTGGATGATCTAAGGCCTTATGAATATTATATTCCCGAAGTGCATGCCTGTAAATAAATCACATACATAACAGCACATATTTATAATTGATAAAAAAGTAAAAATGTTATACAAAAAAAAATTATATATAGTTATCATTGTATCAAAACATCAAAATCAGATTATAATACAAAGATAAGTTAAATTACTTGATTAGCTCAATTGCAATTAAAATCATATTGTTCATGAAGACTCACTTTATGTAATTGGCTTTTTTATCTTCCTTCCAGTCTTTATTCAATTGGTGAACTTTACATGCAACATATCTTTGTTCTTTAAGATCAAATGCTTTGTGTACTTCTGAAAATCCACCTTTTCCTAATAACATCAACAATAAATATCTTTCATTGAGTACGGGATGAGAGTTGAAACGCGATTGATCTTCATTATGAATACGCTTGAGTTCACGAATGTGTAAATTTCTTTCTCTTTCCAACTTTTCCATTTCTAATTGAAGATCAGCATCTTCTTTTTTGAGAGCACTTTGTCTTAACTAAAATAATAAGGATTTTACATAAATCTTAAACATTTTAGTAGCCGATTAAAATCAAGTTAACATGACAAAAAAATTTAATTTGCGTTACTAGCTCAATAAAGAATATATGTATATTTAATATATAAAGAATATTTATTTACTATCAAAAGTTGTGATTTATGATTCTTACTTAAGTGCATAATTAAAACAAAATTACATTTAAGAAATTCATATGTGAAAGTTTTCATAGTTCATATTCTACAAGATATGACAAGTTAAGTATGTACACTAAAAAATCTGTAATAAATATACTGAAATTTGACTTGCATGTTGTATGTATGTAATGTATTGTATTAAGTTAAAATATAATTCATAATAAATTAGTATTCATAAATCATAAAATTTTAAGCCCTATTTAATATATATTTATGCACCAAATAATGCTGATTATTTTTATGATCGCAGTAGAAGTTAATTTGGTAATTCATTATGCATTTATCTGAGATATGAATCATGTTACAAATATTCAAACAATAAATATAGATGTGGAATTTACCGCGCGACTCACTTTGAGGATCTCATCGCTTTCATAATATTCCTGCCAA